AGTAATGAAGCTCCTCATTATGCACTTTTCTCCAACTTCCTGTCACTTCATCTTTCTTCAGTCCAAATATTCTCCTCAAACATCCTCAGTCTATGTTCCTCCCTTAATGTCAGTGACCAAGTTTCACACCCATACAGAACCACAGGTAAAATTATAGTTTTGTATATTCTAATTTTTATGTTTTTGGACAGAAGATATGAAGACAAAAGGTTCTGGACTGAATGGCAGTAAGCATTACCCAAGTTCAATATCCTCTTAATTTCCTCCTGAATCAGCTTTTGATCCATTATCATTGTTCCCAAATATCTTAACTGTGCCACATTTTCAAAATATCTGTTTCCTGTCTTTATGTCATGATTTTGCCCTGCATTTTGGTGACGAGACAGCAACATATATGCAAAATTTCAATATACTGAAATACATACATATCTTTCGGCATTGAAGCAAAGTGAGAGACTGATCGAAAGGAAATTAATTTCTTTTAGGTATAATCTCTCTCTCTCTCTCCAGTGTGAGTTATTCACCAGTTCTTATTGGGGTATAAGAAACGGTTGGGCCACTTATCCCAAAAATATGTTCCAAACTAATACATACACTAACCTTGATGCTCATGCCTTTTCCATGTTCACTCCTAACATGAAAATGTATTTGAAGTGAAGCTGCTTGGTCTGTTCTGACCTCAGGATGATGCAGTTCTTTGGCCATTTTCACCCCATGGCTATGGACAGATGCAAGCTTCCATGTCTGCTTTATCATTACTGCACACTGAATTAAATACCTAAACATGGTCCATTGTTGCAATTATGACTGGCAGAGTTGATATATCTGACCAAACAGGGGAGAAATATTGTATGACAGTCTCAAGACACTTTTCTAAGCCTAGGTGCTTTCTATGGAATTTAAAAGGACAAATTGAAATTGGAAGACAGGGAATATATTACTTGTAGTCAGTAATAGAAAACAATTTACTGCTTTCACAGGAATTACTGCAACAGATTTCAACACTAACCTCTTCAAGTTAGACATTTGTAATGATTTCTTACACTGTTTTCAATTCAGTCATGGGGAATTTAGTACTTCAAGGTCTCAAAATGAATATTACTGTTAAGGCAGCGTCTACATGAGTGCACAAAATGCGTCCGTTGTAACGAACGTACGAACTGAATTCAGGATATTTTGTCAAGCACAATGCTTTCCTTTCCTGCATATTTGTAGTTTATTTTATGATGCTGTCTAGAGTGCATTCTGCAGGTCATTCAACGTAAAGTCCCTCTGCTATGTGAACCAGAGTATATCATACTTTGTGTCGACGACCACATGGAAGAAAATTCTTGTGTGTGTGAATTTCTTAATGGTCTATAAATACTGGAAATATGCTGAAGTAGTGAAAATTACTGAATGTTGTCATCTATTGGTTAGCACTACTGCTTCATATTCAGGAGGTCCCTGGTTCTATTCTTGACCCAGAGGCCACATCCTCACTGAGGTTTTTCACTGTGTTTTTCAGCCCTTCTGGTAAATTTTGGATACTGCTCATTTCATGATGTAGACCACATCTACTTCCTGTTTTCATCATCAGTCAGAACCATCATCCTCTTTAAATACTACAAAATACTTAGCTGAGAAAGCATCGTTAAAGAATGAGGAACAAAGAGCCGAAGAAACAAATGAAATAACATTTCCCTCTTAGTACGCAGAAATGCTGATTCAGAATATTAAGAGAATGTTTAGGTACCACAGTCAGAGTTTGTAATATATTTTGTGATAGTATTACAGTAACAAACAAAGAAACCTTCATAATTCCACAGAAGTCTCACCACACTTCCTTGAGAACTATAAAAAGGAACAAATCATTTGCTCAAGAAAGTATAGTTTATTAATGACCACTTTAAAGTCAGAGATTATCAGTTTCAGTGAAAATAACCTCCTGCAACCCTGAGAGGACTTCTGGTAACATTTCTGTCAGGTAGTGCTCCGATCTTGCAAAGTGAACTGAAGCTGCAGTTCTTTTAGATGTAACACTGAGGTATTCATAAAACTGTATTGAAAGGAGGGAGTTCAGAGAAAAGACTTGTTACAAATTACACTAACTGTAAAGACTACTGTATTCTGGAATGTGGTGGGAATTTGTAGACATTTTGGAAGAACTTACTGCCTTAACCTTCATGGTCAAAGCTTAGGTTAAGCAAGGAGTGAGCTGTCTTTGGAAAATGTGTTTTAGATATTGGCCTGTAAAGGAAAACCAGTAAGAGTAACTCATGTGCAGCTTACTGTACCTGCTGCTTGCTTCTTACTAGTAGCTATCTTAACCTGTTATTTGACCCTGAAAATGGAGGCAGTACATTCCTTGGAAACTTCTATCAAAATAGTATACAGTGTCACACCCCAGAATATAATACTCTTCATAATCACTTCTATGAGAACCAAAAATCCAGTATGTTTACTGTAGTTTGAAATAATATCAAGCATTTTGTAGAAAATTTAACACCTTCAAATTAACTGGTACCTTTGGATAGGTCACTAATTTTTGTAAGGTTGTTTGATCTCTCAAAATATTCATGGGATTAAGTTCAACTGAGTGATAATACTGCAGAATCTTTACATTGATTGTGTTTCTTGTTAGTTTATTGACAAACATGCTACAGTGAAACAGTATATAAGTAAAGATCATTATTTTTCATTAACCAGTTGATGGAACAAAATATTTAGTGTACTTAATGCGGTGAGATTGTTTTTTAAATAGAATTTTCAATCATTAGTAATATCTCTCCTAATTACTTAATGAATATCAAAGTTTGATTCGTTAAACTTAGCTGTGTTTCATATCGTTATACGAAGTCCATTGCTTGTCAGTGCCTTGCTTGCTGCAAACATGAACTGTTTGACAGGCTGCTGCTGAGTGTCATCGTGTACTGTGTCTGACTGCTGGTCCTTGAGAACCTACAGGCTTCTCATCAGAGTATAGCCATCTGCTGATGTCACACTCACATCATGTTATGCATTGCTATGGTCAAAGCAATAACTCATTTTTTTAATTGCAGTATTCCAGAATAGGACAAATGTGATGAAAAGTTTTTGGATGTGTAGTTATTGTGTACTCTGTTATTTGTTCTCCAGTTTCTCTAGTGCAGACATTGTGTAGAGTTTGTGAAGAAATGAAAGGATAATATTTTATTGTAGCATCCTGTTGCACATCATTTATTAGTCAACAAATGTCACTGGCTCACAGTCTCACGTGCAACACGTCCCTCTAAAACTTATTTAAAATTGTACACTTGTAGTCTAGATGCACAAGACAGCGGGAAGAACCGCCCAGCTCCATGAAATACACAAGTGCATAAATGGGACTACACATCAAATATTAGAGCCACAAAAGAGAAGCACAGCAGTTTTCACCAACAATTCTGAACATCTGATGATGATCAGTGTCAGTTGAAACAAGTAGTGCAATGTACAGAAGTAAATTTTTGTAGTTGTGTTGCGTGTGAGATTGTGGATCAATAACATTTGTTGAATAATAAATGATAAGGTGTTATGTATAATGATGTGGAAGGTGGCAGCCCTTTGCTATCCCAGGATTTGACTGGAAGGACCGATGAAAACCATGAAAAATGCGAGTCTGGAGAGCCAGCCTTCATGTTGAGAATTAAGTTGAGATCCCACCAAGCATACTTAGTGAGAGCTATACTGCATATGCCATGAATTTGTTTTGTTATGTACTCTGTGTAACCTATTTGTCCTCACTTATTATATACTGCAATCAGTTGGAAGTATATCAGTGAAAGTTGAGTTTTATAACAAAACAAGCCATGATATCTTATACAGAAACAGTGTTGTGTGCAAATTGTTGATATAATTTCAGCATCCACTAGGCATCTGTACAAATGTAAGCTCTCTCAACTACTGGAAGGCATCGGTGATCATGAGCAAGAACCATTGTCAGATAATGATGAAACGGAGGAAGAGCGGACTCATCCTGCAAGAATGGACGACAGCACTGGTGAAAGCAACCAGAATACCGTAAGGCAAGATCAGATGTGTTACATGTTCGTCCTTCATCCGGTCATAGTGGTGAGGCTCTAGGAAGATCAAGCTCATCTCTGTCAGTTACATACTGCTCACCTCAAAGAGAGCAAAGGGAAGATGACCTGAGGCAAAGCTTCTCTTTAAGCAGTTCATATCTGGGTGCAGTGAGAGGTTTACAGAATGATGATGTTAATGAAAAGGCCGGTTCATGGTTATCAAGAGATTTAAGTTCATCAGTTACACAGCTGTCCACTTCATCACCAAGGAGACTGTATGGATCATCTACAGATAATTCCTTTGGGAAAACATCATGGCAACCTGTGAGTTCTCAAATAACTGAGGAAAATCCAGGATACTCTGCAAGACAAAGGGGAATTTTTTCAGGTACATTGTCATCTTAGAATACAAGACAAATAAAAATAAGAGTGGAGTGATTGTCATGTAACATTTGACTTCATGCATAATTTCATGAGGTTAGTTTGTAATACGTATTTATAATTTGATTTGATGCTTTGATTGTTGACAGATACTTCTCCAGCTTCTCGACAAGAGATGGCTTCACGTTATAGTTTCACAGGATACTCGGATGCAAAACACTCTTTGTTGCACAGGTAGGAATTCTTGTCAGAAAGTCTTATTTTAAATTTCCATTCTAAATGTTGTAATCATTAATACATTTATTTACTTTTCAGACGTTATCTATCTTCCTCTTTATATTTTAAACAGCCTTTCAGAAATTGGACTCTGCCATCATCATCAGGTAAAAAGTCTACCCAGTTGGCTCTCATCTATAGAGCTAGACCCTATCTCTAGACACCAGAACCAACACATGGCAGAATACATAAACCTAACACAACCTAAATCATCTGTGGGAGTTAATACAAAATTTAAAATGCCACATGCATAAGGCCTTGCACCTGTAGTCACGCATAGTGTAATGACCAAAGTCCATAAAATTATAAAACATAACCTAAAAATATAGTCAAATTCTAAGAGTGACTATAGATTCCATAAAGGTACTGATAGGACATAGACTTTTGGCCTTTACATTCATAAAGACAGAGATACCAGATATATATACCCAATAAATGTAGAAGCTTAAAATTGAAGCAGATGAAATTTCCTGAGTACTGAGGAGAGCAGCAAATAAACCAATACCAGGAAGAAGTACATTAACGAGACATAAATGGTACTGTACAGGTGTCTCGTTTATTTATTTCTGGGTCAGTCCATGTCAAATCAACACAGAAATTGACTTGAAGTTTTATAAGCCTGCAGATTCTAATGAGTAAATGATGAATATGGAGTTTTCCTTCCTGTGAAGTAATTGCAAATTTATTGCATTCCGTAGTTTTCCTTACATTTTCTCACACTCTGATTCACTACAGTGCGTATAACTCAGTCCATATTAAGGTAAGAGAGCTCATTCTTCTAACAGTTGAAAGGCTTTAGGTGGGAATTTTCATTTGGTATGCCAGAATATTTTAGGACACATTAACACTTCCACCAAATTTTGACCTTGATTTATAGAAATAATATGGCCTGATTTATGCATACTCTATGTAATTGTTTAAGTACGTGTCTGGAAATTATCATTTTGGGTAACAAGTTAGTTGACAAGATAACGTATTTGTTTATAAGTACAGGATACATGTTGGTCAGTCAGATTAAAGATTATGTAGGTAATACAGCAGTGTTACTTTCATATATTTCATTTCATTTATCCATTTTATTTCACATTCATAATTGCTACAACAGTAACACTTGAACATGTCACATCATTAAATAAACCATTTNTCCACCAAATTTTGACCTTGATTTATAGAAATAATATGGCCTGATTTTTGCATACTCTATGTAATTGTTTAAGTACGTGTCTGGAAATTATCATTTTGGGTAACAAGTTAGTTGACAAGATAACGTATTTGTTTATAAGTACAGGATACATGTTGGTCAGTCAGATTAAAGATTATGTAGGTAATACAGCAGTGTTACTTTCGTTCGTTTCATTTCATTTATCCATTTTATTTCACATTCATAATTGCTACAACAGTAACAGTACAGTAACTCCGTGTTCAGTGCAAACCATATATTATAGGTCTTTCGTTTTGCTCTCCTTTACACACTACATGTTTCGGCCACAACCGGCCATCATCAGGTGTATTACTCAAGTATCTGTCACACTGCACTTAGTTTAACATGTAAAATTTAAAAACACAGGTCTTCCTGATTGTTCCTTTCGTCGTTATTACCAAAATCTACTTCGTTGATATCTTTGTTATTTACACATGTCAATTTTAATTTCTCTCAATGAGCACTTATAAAATCTTAAGTTCTAATTTTAAAATCTTTTCAATTTTCCTCTAAATTTTAAAATTTAAATTTCAGGGGGACTCGCCCTATGTCTATAGTGCTGCAGCGGGTACTTTTTGTTTCTAGTACTGTACTGGTGTTATTCTGTGTAGTCTGTGTAATAAAGATAAGCAGTGGCATGCACACATGTTCCTGACCTGTATTACTCTGCTTACAATTGCCTGAGCTGTCTCATTCAATATTCAAACCAGTGTCCTGCACATTGATAATCTAGGACCACACAAAGTTTCTGCATGCAAGATATCTGCACATTCATCTGATATTTACAGATCATCCAAACCGTTCAGGATTAGTGCTGTATCTCATGGTATTGTGATTTTTTTGTCAGCGATCTTAAGTAATGCTATCAAAATAGTCTCCATACTATTGACAGGATATAATTTTTTTCAGTATTATTGTTTGTTATTATTTAAGAATTTGTTTCCATGCCTAGAATATAGAAATAAATGCAATACAGATACAAATCATGTTCAGTATTCAGTATTGAGCGGGTGGGTTTCCCCATGCACTTAGACCAGTTACAAATCATGTTACTTCTACCACATTTCAAATATTGTAGGTGGTAGCACTTTGCTTGGTTTTACATTTGGTCTTGAAAGAATTCATTTCTAAGCCACTAATTTGGCATTTTGAACCGTGTACTGTGATGTTTCACCTCTTGTTGGATTTTCCAAGTTGCTCTTTGGAAGATCCATGATAATTTCGACCCCCCCCCATTACATGAAATGTTTCCATCAAGTGTGCTATCATTTCACCTTCGCCTGAACTGTCACTACCACTAGAGTGGAACGGAATACTTTCTTTTCTTGGG